AGAGGCCTTCAAGAAGGCACTCAAGACGGAGCTCTTCCGGCGGGCCTATCCACCTGACCGCCTTAATGGGCCTTAAGTTAACTTAAGTTAAATTGATATGACTATATGGCTTGGTAGTGGATGTTGATTAGCTTGTTTTATTGACTTTATAACTTGTTGCTTCTTGATTTTTATAATGTTTTTATTGTATTTATTTTACTTGATTATAATTCTGTATACTGTTGTTCATTTTATTGGTGTAATCCCGCCTCGATCCGTAGGGAGAGGACAAGACTTCACTTCTGTGGCTCCACAAACCTAACATTGCAACCCCTCTAGAATTTCAGAAAAGGAAAGAAAGAAAAGAAGGATGGTAGGCAGGATGAAAGGAAGAATGAACACAAGGAAAGAAGGAAGGAAGGGTAGGAGAGAAAAAAAGGGACCAGCAGGAGGAAGCAAAACTATAATGATGAAAAGTATGCAAAGGGATCTTGTAGCACCTTTGAGATGAAATGAAAGGAACAAGTTAGTAGCATGACATTTGGTAGACTTGAGCCTACTTTATCAGATTCATGAGGTGGAGTGGACTATGGTCTGTCTCTGGACTCTCCCCTCCACTTCATGCATATGAGGAAGCAGGCTCAAGTCTACCAAACCTCTGGACTCTCCACCTGTGCATCTGGGGCAGGACGTAGGCTCAAGTCTCAGAAAGCTCTAGATTCTCCACTCCACCTCATGTATCTGAGGAAGTAGCCTCAAGTCTAGGAAAGCTCTGGACTCTCCACCCCTGGTGTTCCCGCACAGTTGTCACCTGGTGCAGGGAGTGGGGCTTCAAGGTGGCGCACACTCCCACCCTTGTGCCTGATGAGGAAAAGAATAGGCTGGCACGCAGGGAGGGGGAGTGCACAGGGATGGTGTATTGAGGAGTGTGAGGATGGTGCATGAAGGAAAATGTGGGGATGGCACACAGGGAAGCATGCGTGGGAACAGCACATGGGTAGCATGGGGATAGCGTGCAAGGGAGGTGAGGGGATAGCACAGGGGGGAAGCAAGGAGATGGTGTATGGGGATGGCACATGGAGGAAAGTATAGGGATGGTGCATGGGAGAAGGAAGGGGACAGTGTGCGGGGAAGTGTGGTGGGGAGGATCTGACCAGGAGTCACCCCCTTCTGGGGTGACACCTGGTGTAGGCTGCACCACCGTACATGATGCCACTGCTCTCCCCTCTCCCTCATGCATCTGGGAAAGTAGGCTCAAGTCTACCAAAGCTCTGGACTCTCCACTCCATCTCAGACATCTGAGGAAGTAGGCTCAAGTCTACTTAATCTCATGCTATCAGTTTCTTTCTCTCCGTTTAAAAGGTGTGACAATCCTACTGATTTTCCAGACTAACACAGCTATCTCTTGAATAATGATGATGGTGGTGGTGATGATGAGTCAGAGCAGGTGTTGGTTGTGGGGGTGGGTGGCTATGTCTTTGAAAGATGGTGATGATAATGATGTTGGGTCAAGGCAGGTGTGGAGGTGGGTGGCTATGTCTTTGAATGATGATGATGGTGATGATGATGATGATGATGGATGGGTTAGGGCAGGTGTGGGGGTCGCTGAGGTGGCTGGCTATGTCTTTGAATGATGGTGATGATGGGTCAGGGCAGGTGTGGGTCGTGAGGGTGGCTGGTTATGTCTTTGAATGATGGTGGTGGTGATGATGATGATGATGGGTCAGGGCGGGTGTAGGTCATGGGGGTGGTTGGCTACATCTTTGAAGGATGATGATGATTGTGGTGGTGATCAGGGCAGGTGTGGGTGTCTGCCTATGTCTTGAATGTTGATGTTGATGATGATGATGGGTTAGGGCAGGTGTGGGGTGGCTGGCTATGTCTTTGAAGGATAATGATGATGGGTCAGGGCGGGTGTGGGGGTCTGCCTATGTCTTTGAATGTTGATG